CCCGCCACGTTGACTTCCCAAGTGACCCTGGTCTTGTGGGGGATTCTGATCAATTTTCGTATTTTTGTTGTTGTTGTTGTGCCCGTTGGCTGTCCCTGGGCGCGCTGCCATTGGCTTTTTATTAAAGGTTCCCGTCTCGCTTGTTTGTTGTCTTGACGGTCCTTTGCGCGGCCGGACCGGGATTCGGGCGGATTCACTGTCGCTCCTGCCGCCGCCGCGATGGCTGTCGTGCCCGCTGGTTTTCCAGCCCTGCATTCCCGCGTGGGACGCCCCCGAAGTGCCACTACCAAGCGGCTAAGGCAGCCACACGCCACCTGGAAACCCCGCCTTTGTGTATGTGCTTTCCCAAGAAACACGCGCGCTCTCACATCCGGAGTCACTGACTTATCTGTGCCTCCGCTTCTTTCCCGTGCCTCAGTTTCCTCATCAGAACAACCCCAGGACACGTTGGGGAGGGCTCCCTGGGGCTTAAAGGAACTGATGTAGTTACAGTACTTAGCCCCGTGGGCGCCTGGTAAGCTCACGGAAAACGGAAGATATCATTGTTGTTGTTAATAATTATTTAAAAAGTCGGCTCCCAGCAAATGGTTGTTGGATTAAGGGATATTCACGAAGGTCTTTGGACGGAATTCTAGCCCCAGCCTTGTACTTGCTCAGCTACAAGCCGCTCGGTGAGAGCAGCTGCCCTTCGGAGTCAAGGGACCCGGGCTTGGGAAGCCAGGAAGGCGTCCCTCCGTCCAGCCTCACCTCCATCACCTCCCTTTCTGATCAGTAGAGTTTCCTTCTCCCCGATACTCAGGCCCCTGAAGTATAGATTGCCAAGAATTCCTCTGGGTCTTTGTGGCCACTATACATTGACAACACCCTCTATCCTCAGGGTGTGTGTGTGTGTGTGTGTGTGTTTTAAAATATATTTTTATTGATTTAAGAGAGGAAGGGAGAGGGAGAGAGAAATAGAAACATCAGTGATGAGAGAGAAATAGTGATGGGCTGCCTCATACACACCCCACTCTGGGGATCGAGCCTACAACCTGGGCATGTGCACCGAGACCAGGAATCCAGCCATGACCTCCTGGTTCATAGGTCGATGCTCAACCACTGAGCCACGCCGGCCAGGCTATCCTCATGTTTTTATTTCTGTTCACTCAACCTGCAAGTGTTGGCTATTTATTTGGGTTTGCACCCCAGTTCACAGCCGTGGCTAGAGCAGAGTTAGGGGCTCATGTCCCAGAGCCTGTGACTCAGATTCTTGGGGTAAGTCCCATTGGACCCCTAGGCATTCCTTGCCTCCTCCTCCCTGCAGCCCCTCTAGCTTTC